TTGTAATCCCGTGCTACACGCTGCTGGGGTTGTGTTTATCCCCTCGACTGTGACTTAGGGCTTTCTCGTCATTCCACCCCGCTCCTGGAGCAGCAAGGAGAAACCGGGGCGATGGGTTTGCTGACTGCCGGCACGGACAGACGGACGGACGGGGCTCCGTCCCTCGCGTGCCGAGTCAGCAGCGCTGATTTCCCAGCACAGGCATCCTCCCCACATCAGCCTCCCTCGTGTGCCGGGCCCGTCAGGAGCAGTCGCTCCAATTACGGGCTTTAAAATGCTGTTAATCCCGCAGCTGGAGCCAGTTGATTCCCAAGGCTCGGGTGCGTTGGAGCGGGGGCCGCGCTCCTGCCACAAAGCGGGGAATTTTGCTCGCTTGGGCACAATCTCGCCGCGTCGTGGTCTGTGCCGCGGGAGGCACGGGGAGAGGCTGGAGATGGCTCTGGGCTGAGGACTTTCGCATTTCAGTTTTTTCGCGCTATGAGCCTACACGTAGCTGGTTTCTGGCCTCCCCTCACCTTTTCCCTGTGCCTTCCCCATTTTTGCAACCAAGGGGGAAGACCTCGAACATCGAACATGCCTGGCACTGACTGAAAATCCACACCCTGAGTCACAACACCCCGTTTCCATACCTTGGGTGGTGCTCCGGATCTCCCTCTCTGCTCTGACAGTGAAAATAGCATCCGTCCACCCTGCTCCCTCCTTCCCCCAGGGCCTGGGGCTGGGCCAGTCAGGCTTTGGGGGGTTTGGTTTTAATCCAAATTAGCTGCTTCCCAGACTGCTGGGCTTCCCGCAGGGCTCTGGAGGATACGTCTCATCATCCGTCCTTTGATTGGAGTTCAGGCACCTCTCCTTCACTTTCTAATCCGTTTATAGGTGTCCCTGCTTAGTTTGAGAGCTTATCGGAGCCAGGGAGAGGCGCCTCTGCATCTCCTGGAAGACGCCTGGTGGTGGCCAGAGTGCAGGAAAATCACCCGGCTCCTCTTTATTGCCCCTTTGTTGGGGCTTGGGAGCAGCGGCAACGCTGCAGATAAGGGTGAAAGCTGCGCTCCAGGGTGCGACACTGCAGCTGGGGACAGCTTGTCCTCACAGTCCTCAAACTCTCCTGGTGCCCACCAGCGGCCCGGAAGCAAGGTGACAACACTAGGGCAGGCGTCTGGCGTAGCCAGGGTTGATGGAAGTAGCTACAGGCAGGTGCTGGAGTGATATCCTTTTTTTTTTTTTATAAAAACAAGGCATCCCAAGCAGGCTTGCAGATGCCCCCAGCCCTGAGCCCTGAGCTCAGCCCTGCTGCTGGCCTGTCTCACTGCGGGACTGTTGCTGTTTTTGGTGGCAAATGCTCCTTTTTGCAGCCTTTTGCCAGGGAAGGACACTTGCCGTGGCCTCTTTTATTTGCCGTGGGGTGCTCCACGCCTGGCAGCCTCACTGGGACGCACGGAATGGGATCCTGGCAGGGTGGGTGACTCGGGGAGGAGCACCCCGGTGGGATGGGGTTGGGCAGGAGCTTTGTGCTGTGCCCGGGAGCGGAGCCGCCACCACGCTCTGACCCGCAGACCCGTGCATTGCGTCAGGGTG